CTCTCTGTCAACGCTCTCTGGTTTCATTTAAAAGAGTCGATCATCAGATATTGTCCAAGATTAACTTTCAGGGTGGATATAGCTCGCTAGCAGCCTCGCACCGATGACCTAGTTGATGTCATCATTTACCCAGAATGCTTTGCGTGTAAATAAAATGGCCTCGTCCTTGTAATATATTTTTAAACTTTTAGTTTAAAAAAGATAAAAACTGAACATCCTACAGTATTTTTACAGTCTTTAATTTACAGTTAAAGTATATGTTTATCATATAAAGTCTAATGTTACAACTAATGGGGGATCTCTTTAAGACCACTCCCACCTAAAACAAAGTTTTTTTTAATAAACCATCCTGATTACATCAGTGGTACAGATCAAATTAGATACTTTTATTGTTTTTTTTTTTATTGTGCAGGAATGAAATAATGTGATGAAACAGAAAAATAAAGCTGTGATCGGGTCATAAATGAATAAATTCATTGACTCCATTTCACGTTTTTAGCAGGAAGCTGAGCTTATTTAAAAAGATTATCGTTTGACACATTTTATAGAATTTGCTTCATGACAAAGTCTAAGCAACACTAAAAATACTTTTTAACCCAACCAAGGAAGGCTGGTTCTTTAAAATATATATATAGTCCTAAATAGAATAGAACGAAACAAACAAAAAATGAGGTTCCTTGCAGACATTGTTTGGTTATTGTGCTTAAAATGTAGCATCTGTATTCTTTTATTCACTTTGAGGTTATAGTAATTGTGCTTTATTTTTGCAGCTGTTGGAACGAAGTCTAAACTGACGTTACTTTGTGCTAGGATTTTTTACAGGGTGGGTACAGCACCGAGGCCTGCCAAGCAGACACACGCCCCCACCAGCCCCCACACTTGCCTCCTCGCGCCCACTCTCCTTTGCCCATAACCTCGGAGCGAGCCTGGGCGGCCACACCCTCCATCGAGGGCCCCCGCAGCCTGCCCGACTCGGGCCGGACCTCGCCTTGCATGAGAGACGGGGAGTTCTTTTTGCGCCTCCTGCAGACGGAGGTGGAGCGGATGGAGGGCTGGTGCCAGAACATGGAGAGGGAGGCCGAGGAGAACGAGCTTCCAGAGGAGGGTACGTTTCTGAGGCATGTGTGAAACAAAACTAGAGAATCATGAAAGCTTAATGCTGGAAGATTTTTCCTGAAAGTTGATGGAGGAGCTGGAAATGTTTAATAGCAAAACTGTTAACGCAAGTTAAATTTAAACAGCTGAAAGTAGGAAAATAAAATAAACAGTAGCAGAAACTATTTGAAATTAGCAGAACAGGGAGTAAAAACACTCACATTGGCAGAAAAATGGGAAAAAGAATTAAAAATTATGCAATTTGTTAAAAAATAGCTAAAGCAGCCAAAAATAAGCTGAAAAATAAATGTAGCTGAAAAAATGCAAAGATGCAGAAAGAGCATGTTTGCTGAATTAAGTAATAAGAAGCTGAAATTATCCCAAAAAAGTAAATTTAGATTTAAAAAAAACTCAAATAAGCTTAAAATAAAAAGCAAATAAACTGCTGAAATCAGCAGAGATTTGTTAATTTGAGCATAAAAAGCTTAAATTAATGAAAGAAAAGCTGAAAGGAGCAGAAAGAAAGCTATTAACAGAAACAAGCTCAAATTAGCATAATATGAAGTTAAAAGAAACTGAAATTACCACAAAGAAGTTGAAAAAAAAAGCCAAACCAGAACAAAAGGTACAAAGTGCAGTAAAGATTTATAAACAGAAAACTTTTAGGGATGTTAAAGACAGCTCCATTCATTTTCAATGAGAAAAAAAATCTTAGCAAAGGCTAAATAGGTAAAAAAGTACAAGATGCTGAAAAAAAAGTCGCCCATGTCATAAATGAGCTGAACATTTTGATATATACACTGTTGAAATTACACAGAAATTGTGGAGTGAGTTAGAATGCTCAATGGCATTGTCACAATAAGTCCTGGTTTGTCCTATCTTCCTGTCAGTTCTCGAGCTCATTCGAAACGCGGTGGGCAGCGCCCAGATGCTCATGTCTCAAAAAGTCCAGCAGTTCTTCCGTCTCTGCCAGCAGAGTGTGGTACGTGCACAAAAACAGTCCCATTTGCTTTCCCAGCCTGTGAGCATTCCTTAGACACTAATGTCGTCTCCTGTGTTCCCGCTCGCTCAGGACCCCTCTGCCTACCCTCAGCCCACATCCCAGGACCTGGCAGCCTTCTGGGACCTGCTCCAGCTCAACATCGAGGACGTGAGGGTCAAGTTTCAGGACCTCCAGAGGATCAAGGACAGTGGTTGGAGGCTCCCGCCTGAAAAAAAGGTGAGAGGCCCCCGAGGTCCAAACAGCTCTGGTTTTCCTTCGGCGTTCCCCAGGAGTCACGGCAGGTCTGAGTCCACGATTAGCGCCGATGGTTTCGCCCTCGGAGCCTTTGACTGTGGAAATCCAAAACAGCAAGAGGAACTGAGTCGACGTTTGAAACGGCGAGATTTCTTTGAGTTTTGATTCATTTTTATTTTACTTGTTTATTTTCTTTCATTTTTCGCATTCTATGAAAAGGAGATTCTTTTCTGAAAAGCTTAGTTCACCTTTTGATTGACTGACAATTCTCAATAACGCACTAACTATTGTTTCTTTTTTCTTTCTTTTGTTCACTTTACCTCTGTTTCTCCCATTTCAATGCCTTTCATTACCCAACATCAATGCATGCTGACTTGCTTTTGTTCTGTTTTTTGTCTTTCCTTGTTGGAATACTTATTTGTCGCCTTCTTGCATGGGGTATCATTTACACTGCTCGCCACATCCATCTCTTTCACCACCCGACTCGATAACTCCACCGTACCTTTTTCATCTTTTATCTACGTCTCACCGTCAAACGGGGCTTTAGGAGGACAAGAAGCTCCCTCCTCCCTTACCAAAGAAGCCAGCAGGCGGGGTGAGCGGCAGCCTCCGAGCGGACAGTGTAGGAGACGGGGTCGCCGGAAGTGGAGGAAGCGGATCTGGAGGGCTGGTGGTGCCACGAATCGGAGGCCACACTCTTCCCATCAGGGAAAAATCTCTGGAGCTCGGGGATCGGAGGACAGAGGCGAGGAGGAGGCTGCTGCAGGCGAAGCGCACCGCCTCCTTCCGGCAGAACTCGGCCACAGAGAGCGCCGACAGCATCGAGATCTACATCCCCGAAGCCCAGACTCGACTCTGAACACAAGACTCGGGGCATCACCCTCCCCTCCTCCGGCACACCCACCCTTTACTCCTGCAGAGTGTTTTTTTCTTTAACCTTCTGCAAGTCTTCACGAGCCACTCCCCTCACCCATTTCCATCAAATCCAGCGATCACACCTATTAAACAAGCAATGACAGCCATTTTAGTGTCTTGAAATTGAAAGGTTTTGTCGATACGCAGGCCTAGACCTTACATAGGCAACTAGAAGAAGACATTTTTACTTCCTTCTTACAGACTATGATTTTTTTTCTTTTTTTTTACAGTGATTTTGGCTGACAAAAAAACTTCACTTTTGTAACGGCAGTCAGCAGCAGTTCACGTCGTAGCATGCCTGTACGTGTTCACTTAGCACATAAAGGGCTTTACAGGCACAAGACCTCGGACAGGATCCCCCAAGCGTGGACCCCTGATGCCATTTAAAGCAAGACTGACTATTTGTAGGCGCTCTGACTTCACCACCTTGATGTTTCTGTACTTTTCACTGACGCTACACGAAGATGAATCAACTTGTATAAATTTCTCAGCCCTCCAGAGTGAGACCTGACGATCATAACCTTCGAATCAACAACTAGAGCTTGCACCTTACGCTCAGGTGCCATCTGTTCACACAGGCACTCACTGAAAGAATACAAAACTTTTTTTGTTTGTTTGTATGTATCCATCGACTCCTCTCATCATTCAGCAGGGAGGCTCTTCAAAAGTGCTGATAGTCTACGGAGTGTGTTTTTTTCTTATTTTATTTTTTGCCAAAAGGAGTTTTTGCATCACAGCATTGAGTAGGACAAAACTAGAGATAGAGTGAAAAAATTGAGCTGTTTGCTCCTTACGTAGTCTCTATGAAGCTTGGAGGGTACAGCAGAGAGGTTGCAGGAAGTTTTTTTTAGGAGGGTGGGGGTGGGGTGTACTTTGGTGGCTTTCCAGATTTGACTTTTCACTGTGAGAGTAAAGCACCACCAAGTGGTCAAACGAGGATGTATTCTGACAACAGCAGACTGTAGGGAGTTTGATTCATCCCCGATAAAATGACCATTGGTTTCTATCAGCGGGCTTTTCTTTTACATTTGTCTTAAATCTAAAGTGTGTTCCTCTTAATTCCACACAGCACTGAGAAAAGAACAATGGATTTTGTTGGCTGAAAGAAACAAAATTGAGCCATTTACTACAAATGGTAGTTCTCCTTAGAGTCTTTCCAAAGAGTCATCAGAATCTAACAAAAGTCATTTACACTAGAACCTGTTTTATTGATAATAGTTGAAAACACTTGATGCGAATGAATATTTATGTTTATATTCCCTGAAAGGGGCTGTTAGGCCATTTTGAAGTGAGTATATGTAAAAAGGTTATAAATTGTGACTAGCTAACCTGTTGTATATAACATCTGGAACAATCTGAGTTTATAGAAGTAGAGTTTAAGTCCAGCAGGACTGATGAGCTAATGGCTAGTTCTAAGGCAGCTGGATTAGTGCTGTTTTCTGATGGCTCCAACAGAATTTGCACAAACGCCTATGAAATTCAAAGATTGGAGTAGTTTTATGTAGACAGTATTTGGCTATGGAAGTAAATTCTTATCTTATCTTATCTTATCTTATCTTATCTTATCTTATCTTATCTTATCTTATCTTGGTCCATTGTCACCATTTGAACCAATGGATCTTTTGAACCATTGGGACCATTGCATCATTTGGACCATTTGGAGCATTGAACCATCAGACCATTTGAACCGCTAGGGCAGTTTGAACTACTGGGACAATTTGGACTATTGAGACCATTTGGCCATTTGGGCCACTGGATCATTTAAACCTTTTGAACCACTGGGCTATTTGAACCATTGGGACCATTTGAACCATTGGACCGTTTAATCCATTTGAACCATTGTGTCATTTGAACCATTGGACCGTGTAAACCATTTGAACCTTTGGGCCATTTGAACCATTGGGCCATTTGAACCATTGGACCGTTTAAGCCATTTGAACCTTAGGGCCATTTGAAGCATTGGGACCATTTGAACCATTGGACCATTTAAACCATTTGAACCATTGAGCCATTTGAACCATTGGGAGCATTTGAACCATTGGGTCATTTGAACCATTGGGACCATTTGAACCATTGGGCCATTTGAACCATTGGGACCATTTGAACCATTGGACCATTCAAACCATTTGAACCATTGGGCCATTTGAACCACTGGGACCATTTGAACCATTGGACCGTTTAAACCTTTTGAACCATTGGGACCATTTGAACCATTGGACCGTTTAAACCTTTTGAACCATTGGGACCATTTGAACCATTGGACCGTTTAAACCATTTGAACCTTGGGACCATTAGGACTATTTGAAGCACTGTGATCATTTGGACCATATTAGCTTTTTAATTTGATGTAAATGGACCAACTTACCCACTGCTGCATTAAAACAGCTCCAAACTTCAAAATCCTATGGAGGTTTAAGATATTACACCTCATTCTATTTCACATTTTACAGTTAATTTTTTTGCAGAAGCATTAGGAACTTGTTGCCAAATGTTAACTCTGGCTACCGCCTTCAATACTCCCTTGCAAAAGAGATCTGTGATGTCAGTGGGATTTGCCTGGTTAACTGAAGATTAATATGATACCTCTTAAGTGCTAGTTGCTATTTCCACTATTTATGCTTGTATTGAGCATGGAATTCTTGTAGCATTTACATACTGGTTATGAAATTTGGAGTTTGGTTCTGTTTTAAGATGGCCTTGTTTTTACAGTCTTGGCTGTGTTGGGACTAGGCTTTAGCTCATTAGTCCTGTCAGACTTACACTGTGTTTCTTCAAATTGAAGCCATTCAAGAAGGTATCTACAACAGGTGACGCATTGATCATTTATAGCATTTATTTCAAAGTTTTACTCAGAAACACACTTCAAAGTTGCCCTTTATATTATTTTTATTCTTTTCTCACAAAAAGAATGATTGATTTTCTTGGTTGAAAGAAACTAAATGGAGCCATTTACTATGAACAACAGCTCTCTTTAAAGTCCTTCCAAAGAGCCATCAAGGTCCATCGAAAACCAACAATCAAACAATTTACACTAATGCTTATTATTAAAGTCATAATATTTTACATTTCTGTTTGAAATGGAAAACTTTTGATATGAATGGAACTTCGTATTTGTTGTGCAATTTGTTTCTCCTTATTTTCCTCCTGAAACTTAGTTTCCACCATACAAAGTTTAACACAAGTTTTTTTTCTCTCGTTTACAACATGAAGTGAAAAGAAAAGATTTTAAATGAGTATTTTTTATGGTTGTGTAATTGCTTGCGTGTGAATGCGCTGGAATTACCAAATATGAAAGGCTGTGTGAAACTTACACCCAAAAGTCGAAATCTGCTATTTGAAAGAGAAAAATGACAAAATATTTGACTTTTTAAGCATGACTTTCTTCCTTTTCTTTTCTTTGACAGAATATGTTGGGAAAAAATTAGATATTTTATTGGGAGATGTATATTTTATAATATAATCTACATTTCTAGATGAGTAGAGATTAATGAGTACAGTATATGTACAAAAATCATATATCAAATGTGAAATACTGCAGTATTATTATGATAGATTATAGCATTGTGGTATACTGCAGCTGTGTGGCATATCCAGACTCAGTACATGTGGAAAAAAAGTTAATTCAGACGACTATTATTGTCTTGAATTTGTGAGTCAGGTTCACAGGGTATGACCGGCAAGAAGGTTATTGCCAAGTATGATCCTTCTTAGGCCTACGGAATATCTGTGTGTGGTTCTCACAACGTGTACTGCTGTATCCTCATCTTTGTATTCTCTTTAGAAGCAACTACATGTGCCTAACCAGCTATATGTGGAGGTTTCCTTTGAACACAGTTTACACTTTAAATATATATATATAGAGAGAGAAAACTATGTAAATAGAAAAGTATAAAGAGAATATTGTTAAAGAAAATGTTTTTATTGTACCTTATCCCCCTCATGTTCACTTGCAATACACACATACACAAAACCGGCACATTTTGTTGATGTACTGCATGTTTTCTGACCAGATTCTGATTTTCGATCAATACAAAGAAAGCCGATTTTGTAGCTTTTAAACATTTTTTTCTTGTGATCGAAAAGACAAATTGTTAGGATTTTACAGCTGTTATGACGAGTCACTTCTTTGTACAATTATAACCTTTTCGAGGCGATGATATGGACACTCTTGGACTTTATGACAGTTTTTTTTTTTGGTTGGGGGGTCTTCAACTGATAAGTTTTACCACCTCCTTGTAAAAACAAGCAGGGCATCGTGTTTAATTAGTCTGCAGCAGTGTGAGTTGCAGAGCAGCCTTTTACCCCCACCCAAACCCATGAACGCGACGACATCTGAGCGGTGGTCGTCACGGCCCTCGTCAAACAAAGCACAAAGAACTGCTTTACTACTGTTTCGCCACTGTGAAGGACACTTGACTCCATCCTTACGCTCCTCGGTCCTCCATGCGAGGGGACGGCAAGGTCTTTCCATCCCAAGTTGCCCTCGAGGGGCCACCAGGAATCAAAAAAGGCTTCAAAAGTAGCAACTTCTCCACTTCTCGATGACTTTTTTTCCCTGTTTAATCTTCACAAGCTGAGGTGTCGGCTAGCCACCCTGCCTTGGAAAAGGTCCACTTGCAAACACAGTTTCATTGGTTGTGACTTGTTTTTTCTTTCTTTTTAATGTATCTATCAATTGTCATATATCTGCAGTATAAACCCCAGTTCCTGGGTGTGTTGTAACATAATCTGAGCACCCATAAAACACAGCTGACACACTACTATCTGTCACGTTCTGCAGTTTCTAGAAGTGCAAAAATCCCCTCCACCCCCACGTGGACAGACAAATCAACTCTGAGTACCTCAGTTTCTAGCAGTGTCTCCTAACCCAACCCGGGCCTCTGTCCTCAGGGGATTCTCGAACACAGCAGGACCCTGACAGGGCCGTGTTTGGTCTTGCAGGAGAGTGGCTAATCCTCTCTGACCGAAGAAAAAATAAAATCACCTCTCAAGCCCAGATTTAGCCATTTTTCCCGGAGTTGTGCGAGGCGTTGGCCGAGGCAGCAGCAGCAGCTTAACTGTAGCCGACATATGCGTGTGCTGTGTACTTTGCTTCTGCAACAAAGTGAGGCGGGACGGGGTGTAGTAGCAGCAGATTTGAGTTTTAGTTTGACGTTCCTGTGAAGTAGAGCTGCTCTGGAGGCTTGACGTTTCAGCTGGGAGCCAGTTGTTGATGCTTAAGCCATAACAAACGGCAAAGTTTGAGGTTAATCTAACAGCTAATCAGACTGGGGCTCACTCCATAGAAAATTTTCACCAACTGAAACAACTTCAAAATTTTCGTAGCGGTTCAAACAAACGCTTGTACATATTCAAATATGTTTTTAACCCTTTGATGTTAAAGTGATGCAGCGTAAAAGTTTACCAGATCTACACCAAGGGTGTCAAACTCATTTTCACTGAGGGGCTCATGAGCATGATGGTGGCCCTCGAAGAGCCCATTAATTAACTTTAATGTTTCCTGTTTAACTTGGACTAAAAACGAATTGTCACATTCCTCGTCTCATTGCTACAGCTGAGCACTGCTTACAAATAATAACTGAGCTGCCATCTTGAATTCTGAACGCTTTCATTTTCTGACAATGAATTCCCACTGGAGGGGCGTTCCAGTTGAAATTCATGACTTGTAAGTGGGAAATTCCCACTTCACATTACAACTTGCTCAGAGCGAAAGTAGCCAACCAAAATGCAGTGAAATGGAAATTTTACATGATATATTACTTGCTACGTTGGAACCCTGTGCACCTCCATCTAGTGGTGGTCATTTTGTTGGTAAAATAATCGATATATGCTTATTTTAGATACTATTACATTTTTGAAGCTCTCAAGGGTCACATAAAGTGAGGTGGTGGGCCACATTTGGCTTGTGGGCCTTGAGTTTGACACGTGATCTATACCTTCAGTCTGGCAAGTCTTGACTCTCCAAAATGAGATCATTCCGACTTTTGTCTGCTGCAGGTAAGATACTGACTAAAATGAACCGTACTTCAGTAAATTCTAACTCCCCTTCTAAGACATCTCAATCCTTCTTTTTCTGCAATGGTGCAACGGAACCACATGCAACATTATCTCCAAGTACGCTAATCTCAAAAAGATGACTATTTGTTACCCCCTGAGTGTAAGTAGGTCTTTAAATCTGGTGTTATTGGCAGACTGTGCCTTTAACAAAGAGGTAATTAGACACTGTAAAGAAAGGCCCAGAATGGATATTAAATGAAAGACTGATTGGATCCTCAATGCTTTAGTTTATACTGTGGCCAAAATGTATTTGTTGGTTCCCCTTTAAATTGTTTTCCACCCCAACCCCAGCCCCTCCTGTGACTCCAGAGCAGCTCAAAGCCAAGCAGATGTTGGACTGAAACTCTGATGTGCCTTTAGCACTGAAGTGTAACTCTTGTTTGTGTGTGCGTGTGTGTGTTTAACGCAGTCAGTGTGGCTTCACGGGACACACACACAGCTAAAAATGAGGGTAAGAGACACCAGAGCAATTACTGTGTAATTAACAAAAAGAATAACATACCCTGCCACTGTCATGTTTACAAAGAAAATGTAAATACCTGTTACCAATGAACATTGCTCTTCTCAATATTACATTTATTGTTATTACAATCTGATTATTGTCATTAAAAATGTTAATTATTGCCATATCTTTGATTATTAAAATGGTGTTGTCGACTAGCGATGGATAAACATTGTTCTGTGGGCTATCCAAGGGCGAGACGTGTGTACAGAAACTAACAAAACGGTGAGTTCAGTTCAATAAACTGCTGCTACTAAGGAGACGGAGTCAAAGAGAAGCAAACTGACATTAACTCTGGGAAGACAATTTTCTCTGGGATCAATGATGCACACTCCCCCTTCGAGAGGCGAGGAATCACCAAACGAGGGGAACTAAGCTCTGAGGATGGAAGATCCAAACATTAGACCCTCTGTGTGTGTGTGCGTGTGTGTGTGTGTGAGTGTGTGTTTTCCCACGCTGAACTCTTAGTGCTGCCAGAGGATGAAATTAGGACAGGCATCAAACTGACGTTTCACTCTTGCCATCTTTGCTCTCAAATGTAGCAAAAGGCTTTAACTGGCCTTCATTGTGTTCATTTCCCAGTGAACATTACTGGTATTATTTTTAAGCACCAAACTTTTCTGTTGTTAACATCAGCATGAGTTAGTGCCAAGACAGCATATTGTACATACAAACATTATGCTTCTGTTCTTTTTTGTTTGTTTGTTTGTTTGTTTGTTTGTTTGTTTGTTTGTTTGTTTGTTTCCTGTACAAAAAAAAGTTACCGTATGGTAAAAACTCCAGGGGATGCACGAGAACACAAACGGTGCTGTCTGACTAGAGTCTGAACAGCATTGGAGGACGTTTTCACGGTGTACAACATAATTCTGTGTTTTGTCATTTTGTACATATAAATTTCTTGACCTGTTTTTTTTTTTTGTTTTGTTTTGTTTTGTTTTTACGGGTCTGGATGTGTCCGAAGGGGGAAACGTCTGACGGCGCTGAGGCCCAGCGAGATGGCACTGTGACATGGTTAACCCAACACAGAATGTAACACTTTTAACGTTGTCGGAACATTTTCTAATGGCTAATACTATTACGATTATGACTACTACTATTATTACTATTATTATAAAGCTATTTTAGCCAGTTAAATAAGAGGGTGCTGCGTCTCTTTTGTCTTTTTGTGTGTTTTATTCTCTGACTCTGAATGTTTTGAGAAATTAAAAATGAATCTATTACACAGATATTAAAGTCATTTTTTTCAGTTCTCACAGGTAAATTAATAACAAAAACCATGAAGGATCAGTCCAATTAGGTAATTGGTCTGAGCTGATCTATGTGGAGTCCTCCCTGTGATATTGGTTAATTTTCTTGTGGCCATGAGTTATTTATTTTGTGGCTATGCAAAATTGATTGCATGGCTCCATGTTATTTCATGTCCATTCATTACTACATGGCCACGTCTTCGTTATTTATTCCGTGGCCATGCATTGTTTTTTACATTGCCACCTATGTGGTATTTTCTCGCGGCCACGTGTTATTTATTACGTGGCTACATGTTATCTTGTGACCACAAAATAGTGTGGCCACGCATTAATTTTATTTTTAGCCAATGTCACCAGACAGGCTCCGTAGATCTGTTTCTTTAATTTCTTTGTAGGGTCTGAAAAAAGCTGTTCTGCATTTCTTTAAAGAGCATTGTCCATGTTTATTGGAAGTCCTTTTTACAGCTCACTGATGGTCCCTGGAGTAAAGAAATTTACAACCTGCAGTGGACAACCGACCAATAACAAAGAGACATTGGGCCTCATGCAAGAACATGTTTGTATTCTTATCCTAAATTTCTCTTACTTTTGTTCGTACAAAGGGTTCGTACGAACATGTCACGTCAGATTCAACAAACTCTTCTACCTTCAGGAAAAGTGTGTAAATGAGCTGCGTAAACATGATGAATTACACCTGTTCATATCCAGCTGCTCGTGCACGCGGAGAGGTTATTTACATAATTACCACCCCAAAAACACCATGTAAGGGTATACATTTCCTGCCCCACATACCAGGAAGTGTCCATTCATGAATGACATCGCAAAGCAAAAAGAAGAACTTTACGAATTGGGAGATTGAAGTCCTGCTCTCGGAGATCCACAAAAAAAAGTCATTTTTAACGGCGTCAGCTGTGGAATTAAAGGATCTGCTTTAAAGCTGAGGAATGAAATGACGACTGTCTCCTGTGGGTCGTTACGTCACAGAAATAAAAATCTAAATCATATTTATCTCTCTCTGTAGTCCTGCTCCGGTTTTTCTTTGGTCAAATATTTTTTATATCAGTGTAAACAACTGTGTTACATAGTTTTCATTTATTCAGAGGGGCA